AACAGAGATCGGTGCTGGTAATGAGGTCACGCGCTTGCCCAGCCGACTTTTCAACATGATCGTCTCTTTATCCGAGAGCAAACATGGCAGCAGGAGTGCTCTCGAGCAAGCTTATTGCTTGCGACGATTATTGAAGGATGGTTGGGGAAAGAAGTTTCGGATTCTGCGAGTGATATCGTTATTAGACCAGCGCGGAAAAACGTAAGCCAAGATTGAAAATCAGTCTAGATTCTACATGGAAGACTTGGCGGGATTGATCAGAAGAAATGGTGGAGGAACAGAGCCAACCAGACCAGCAGGCAGCGGAGAATGGGCCACCCCACCACCACCAAACACCGTATAGGCGGGCAACCGGACACCAAGACTGCAAACAAGTTGGTTCGACCATTCAGCAAGTCGGGGCGATCGGGCTGTGCTGTCTGACATGTAACGTCGGGATGCATTGCAGATCTTGCCTGTTGCGGAAGCCTTAGCGTGGAAGATTTCCCCATTTGGCAATTTTGAGGATGAAAATACTTAGGTTTCACCTAGACTTCGCGAGATTCGGTTGTTACCACCAATCAGCCGACTAAATCCGACGCAAAAGACAATGCAACTCTGCGGGATTTCAATAGTTCACATGAACCATCGAAGACCGAGAGCTCTCGGACATTGCGCAGGTCTTAGGGCATGATCTAGGTGCTCAGCTCTTGACGTGGAAGGCTGAGCCTCGTATCAATGCAAAAACATCGACAGCCCCGACTTTCTGCGCAAACATTGTTCGGCGTATGATTTCTGGGTCACAATGCGGGCAATTGGAATCTGGGCGGTGGCCTCACTGATCTCTCAAGCAGCATATGTGACAGCACACTGGGCCCACAATGGTACCTCCTCCATGAAAAGTCCTATTCAACATTTGGCTGACTTGGATTTCAGGCGTCCCTTATGGTAACAATGTCACATTATCGACTGTCTCATCTGTTGTGACGATATACCACCCCAGTACTACGACATCAACCTCAAATTACACAAAGGCCACTCATTCTGAGCATGCAAGTCCAGTCAGCCGATGGAATACCACAAATTCAAGCCATGGCACATCTGCTACACACTCCAGAATTTTTCCTAGCCACAAAAGCTCGCATGGACACAATACTACATCAATAAGATCGACGAGCAAGATGGGGCCGAGTCACGGCACGAGTATCTCAACCCATGCCAGCTCTGTCTCAACTAACACTACGACCATGAATACCACATCAAGCAGCCTTGAGACCTTCTCGAAAATCTCGAATACTTCTTCGACTGTCTCCAACAGTCATAAGACAGCGACATATTCGAGTCATGGTACCCAAGGCAGCTCTACCAATGGCACAACGACCATTACGGTTCCTTACATGAACAGCACCACGACATCAACGACCATACCAATTACTTCGAGCAGCTCTTCTACCGTTTCGTCCGGCATGCCAATGAATTCGGTCAATTCTTCGACTATCTCGAACAGTTCTTTTATCACATCGCCAAGCACTATCCATTCTTCGACTACCTCGAACGGTTCTTTTATCACATCGCCAAGCACTATTAATTCTTCGACTACCTCGAACGGTTCTTTTATCACATCGCCAAGCACTATTAATTCTTCGACTACCTCGAACAGTTCTTTTATTATATCGCCAAGCACTATCCATTCTCCGACTACCTCGAACGGTTCTTTTATCACACCGCCAAGCACTATCAATTCTTCGACTACCTCGAACGGTTCTTTTATCACATCGCCAAGCACTATCAATTCTCCGACTACCTTGAACGGTTCTTTTATCACACCGCCAAGCACTATCCATTCTCCGACTACCTCGAACGGTTCTTTTATCACATCGCCAAGCACTATTAATTCTTCGACTACCTCGAACGGTTCTTTTATCACATCGCCAAGTACTATCCATTCTCCGACTACCTCGAACGGTTCTTTTATCACATCGCCAAGCACTATCCATTCTCCGACTACCTCGAACGGTTCTTTTATCACATCGCCAAGCACTATCCATTCTTCGACTACCTCGAACGGTTCTTTTATCATATCGCCAAGCACTATCCATTCTTCGACTACCTCGAACGGTTCTTTTATCACATCGCCAAGCACTATCCATTCTCCGACTACCTCGAACAGTTCTTTTATCACATCGCCAAGCACTATCAATTCTTCAACTACCCTGACGAGCCCGTCGAAGTCTTTGAATCTATCGACAAGCATTTCGATTAGCTCGAAAAGCTCTCCATCTATGTTGACCGGCTTCTCAATTCCCCAATCTATTTCGTCTACTATCTCGAACACTACTGTAATCTCCTTCACAATTACCATTACTTCTACAATTATCGTGACGAGCCCGACCACTTCTTCCAATCCATCAACACCTCATTCGGTTGTCTCAATGAGCCCTCCAATTACATTGACAACTGTATCGACAATGATTTTGACAATAACTTCGACTATAACGCTCAATTCTCCAATTGTTCCAACTCATCCTTCGACCCCTTCGACAACTCCTCCAACCAGTACAATCCCAATCTCGACCCCTTCAACTTTGACTCCTTCGACGACTCCTTCGACGACTCCTCCAGTTATTTCGACTATTCCTATGGCAACATCTACTAGGAGCACTACTACCCCTTCCAGTATTTCACAGATCACTAGCTTACCGAGTCTCACACAACCACCTTCTCTTAGCACTTCGACCTCGTCTGCACCTTCACGCATCACCAGCCCACCGTCTTTGCCGCAAAGCTCCATTCCTGACTGCTGTTTCGTTGTGCAAGACACGGTTGATTACAATTACTGGAAAGGTAAGAACATTGTGGAAACCTTCGCCTCATCTCAATCCTGACAGTACTCCAGATGTTTCGGTATCCACCACAACCTACACTGCGACAATGTTTGACATCATAATGCATATTTCGAGTTTCCGTGACGGGGTTACTAGTAGCATCGAAACCAAGACATCAGCATTCATCAGCTCCGAGCTCATATCATTTGATCTTGCGGCAAAACCAATGTCCACCGCCAATAGCGCCCCCGGACCTCAAACAGTATCGAGAGAGTTGGATGGGACATCAACAGTGGCCTATGTCCCCTATGCCCAGACTATGTGTGTCCATGATGACTCTTGTGGTATTTGGCAAAGCTGATGGGTCTGACAGTAACTCCCCTAATCCGTTTTTCCTTTACCGCACCGCCAAAATCATTCTTGCCCCTGCTGTAATGGATCAAAATCGCCACTTCGCTTGCGCTACAACTTCCACGTTTTATCCCAAGACATTCACACCCGGCGCTCCGAGTTCTATGCTATTTGGCGGAATTAATTCGAACGCAGAGATGTACTTTGGTAATGCAACTGCGAGCAATGGTCCAAGCGTGGTTGCAACCATACATCTCTCGACTCCATACGTAAACATCCTCTCTATAGGGCCCACCCCGACTACCGCTGTTTCTACGGAAGGCGAAATCGTCAGTACGATGAGGAAAAGAGCCCAGGCGGAAGCTCCCAGCCCCACCGGCTTAATTGGAAGTTCAGAATCTGACTTTGGCTACGTTCCCCCATTCTTCATAAATTTTTTAGCCAATCAGTCCAAGTATGCTGCGCAATATCCTCAAATAGCAAGCTGTTTACCAGCCGGACCCTCCATCGATCCAGGCTTAAAACAATTCGCTTTAGTGTCCAACCCGAATATCGATTCAGAATTGTTCTCAACAATGACGAGTATTACCCACCCCGACGGGTGCTTGGTTCCAGATTCGGTTAAGTGTGCCACTGGGGCACCTCCACCCCCGCCGTCAATCACACCTCTCTTGGAGTCCCAAGCACCGCCAACACCACCACCACCACCTCCTCCTCCTCCTCCCTCACCTATCGCCAGTCCGCCGGCGCCGCTTCCAAGTCCTCCAGCGCCATCGAGTCCGTCCCTGCCACCGGCCTACAACCCTAACTCCCTATCGCCAGAACAACTCTCTTCTTTACTTGGCGCCCTCCAACCACCTCCTAGCGTCACGCCACAACCACCGCCTAGCAGCACCCCACCCGCTCCAACTCCGGTCGCACCTCCGCCTCCAACATCGCTACAGACCTCACCATCGCCTGCTGTTGTCCCTAACGTTGCGCCAGCGCCAATTGAATCGGCAACGACTGTAGCCGAGCCAGCGCCTGCCCCTACGAGTCCGCCAACACCAACACCACCTCCTCCTCCTCCCTCACCTGTCGCCAGTCCACCGGCGCCGCTTCCAAGTCCTCCAGCTCCATCGAGTCTGTCCCTGCCACCGGCCTACAATCCTAACTCCCTATCGCCAGAACAGCTCTCTTCTTTACTTGGCGCCCTCCAACCACTTTCTAGCGTCACGCCACAGCCACCGCCTAGCAGCACCCCACCCGCTCCAACTCCGGTCGCACCTCCAACATCGCTACAGACCTCACCATCGCCTGCTGTTGTTCCTAACGTTGCGCCAGCGCCAATTGAATCGGCAACGACTGTAGCCGAGCCAGCGCCTGCCCCTACGAGTTCAATTGCCGTTTTTCAAGGGGAGGCAAATTGTCTTGGTGGGAAACCGTTTCTGGGGGCTCTATGGAGTGTGTGGCTGGGCTGCTTGATGTTTACGGTGCTATGATACACGCATCATGAAGAACCGCGAAGAGTACTAAGTACATAAGTACATAACGTCTCTGAGATGAGAGCAATGATAACGAGAATGGGTTTAGTAATGATAATTTATATACCTTCATGATCTTACATGCAGGGAGCACAATTCAGCTACTCTAATTAGAACGTTTCATACTTAATAGACGATAGAACCATGAATGTACATACTATTGATCGAGAGAAATATCAGGCTCAGAGTATTAAGTGCCACTCTCAAAAGGAGACTACTAACCCATCGCCTGGTAGGCTGTTAATACTCTAGTTGGCTTAAACACCAAAACGTAAAAAAGCGGTATGATACCATTACACCATAACAGTGTCAAAAAGTTAAATAGCTTGAGAGTGTATTGATCACTCGTCCTTCGGATCATGAGACCGACGCTCCTCCATTGAGCCACCAAGCTTGAGAACGATGCCATTGGGAATCGAACCCAAGTTCCCACGCAGACAACGCAGGATGGTTACCACTACACTATGGTAGCTATTGTTAAATGTGACTCGTTATTGTGGTATATATGGCGTAAAATGAGTCATTTGTTGGTTTAGGGGGAGGATGTGGTGAGTCACAGCGGAAGTCAATACTCGGCCATTTTATCCTGCAATCAGCACCACCACAGTTGGGGAATGATTGCTGAATCTGTTGAGCTCTGAACCACTGAGAAGGGGCTGTGATCCATATGGGTGCCAGCAATGCAAGCAACACAGCCTTGGGCTCAATTACCTGCTGCAATCCGCCTTGCCAAATCTGAGGCCGAAAAACTGAGACCGGAGCGTCCTTTGGTTCCTTCGCTACCAATAACTTTTGAAACATAGCACGACATCGATTTCCTTGTTCTCATTCTTATTATGCTGGCCATCAGTAGGCTCGGCTCCTGGAGGATAAAACATTGATGCCAAGGCTGTGGCGTTTTTTTGAGCGTAAAACTTCCGGTGAAGAAACTATTCAACCTGACTAGGGGAGTAGCTCTGCAGCCAAAAGCTTGAGCTCAGCTTGAATCGTTGTCGAGTTACCCATTTTCGAAGTTCGCCTTCATTGCATTTTATTTTGATGATGGCGAGCCTATGACATCAGTCTGTCAGCATGGATGCCAGGGATGCGCACCAAGAGCGTTGCATCGGACCTCGCGTTTTATCCAAGCCACCGGTATCAGATGATCAGCATGTCGAAAGATCCGATTGAACCGTTTCCCTGTGGTGCGGAGGCATTACGAATGCTAGGCTTTCGAGAAGGGTCGAAGAGGGTTGGGATCGACGTCAGATAACTCGGTTTACCTTGCCGCGCCCCCGCAAGGTCAGAGAGCAACAAGCAACCGCCCAATCGCGTGACTTCCCACTAATATAAAGGCGGGACAGGATGGCAGAATTTCAAAGCCTATTGGTAGTTGACATCGTGATCTTGCTCCAGCTAGGAATCGCATCCCAGTGCCCTTCGCTTGCAACACAACGATCATGTGCAAGGCTGTGGCACGATTGGTGGGTGGGGGACTTTTAAAAATCGCAGGTTACACCCTCTCCCCTTATCACAGTCATCCACTACATGTTGATTAACTATCAAGAAACATTCCGTTGACTCACTCATCGACAGCATGGCGGAGAAGAAGGACTCTCTAAGCTCTTCTACCCTGAATGGGACTGAGCAGGTCGAGAAGAAGACCGCACCCGGCTATGCTGCTGACACTCAGGATGTCTCCCGTAACAAGCTCAATGCTATGTTCGAGAACCCGCTTGGTGGCATCCCAAGAGATCAGTTGATGGCCGATGTCGATGAATTTTGTGCCAAATACGATCTGATGCATTACAACGAGACCTTCCGGAAGGGTGCCCTTGTGGCCCAAAACCCTCACTCCATCCAGAACATGACCGAGCTAAGCGACGATGATAAGTACCACTTAGAGAGAGAACATACGCACAAGTGGTCACAGCCCAAGACCTTGTACTATTTGGTACGATCATCGCACAAATATACCCGTGTCAAATGCTGACAGCACACAGGTCATTATGTGTTCGCTATGCGCGGCCGTCCAAGGCATGGACGAGACCGCGAACAATGGGGCTCAGAACTTCTTCCTCAAGCGATTCAACGTTGTTGCCACATCTGACGGCGGACGCTTCTCCCAACAGATGGTCGATAACCTCACCGGCCTCGTCGTGGGAGCTCCATACTTGGCCTGTGCCATCTTAGGCTGCTGGCTAACAGCCCCATTGAACAGCCTCGTTGGACGTCGAGGAACAATATTCATCTCCTGTGCAATCGCAGCTATTGCCTCCATATGGGAAGGCGTAGCAAACTCCTGGGTTAACCTGTTCATCGCCCGGTTTGTCCTCGGTCTGGGTATTGGTTCGAAGTCAACCACCGTTCCGGTATACGCTGCTGAATGCGCTCCGGCTCCTATTCGCGGCGCTCTAGTCATGATGTGGCAGATGTGGACAGCCTTTGGCATTATGCTTGGGAACATCATGGGAGTAGCTTTCCTGAATCTCGGCCACGATCTCAATTGGCGCTTCATGCTCGGATCCACGGTCGTGCTTCCGCTCATCGTCTGCTGCCAGGTCTATCTCTGCCCTGAGAGTCCACGTTGGCTAATCAAGAAGAATCGAATTCCAAAAGCATTCGAAGCCTTCCGCAGAATCCGTCCTTCTGAGATTCAAGCCGCTCGTGATCTGTACTATTGCTATGTCAATGTCGAGATTGAGCGAAAGGTGTCTCACGGGAGAAATATGGTCTGGGAGCTGGTCACTGTGAATCGCAATCGTCGGGCAGCCTGGGCTTCATGGATCGTCATGTTTGGCCAGCAGGTAAGTCCCCAAGAGTTCTTTCCTCTTTCTTTGATGCCTTGTTGACTATGATGTAGTTCTGCGGTGTCAACGTGATAGCCTACTACAGCACCACCATCTTCACACAATCCGGCTACAGCGAGTCCTCTGCTCTGCTTGCATCCATGGGTACTGGCATCTTGAATTGGGTCTTCGCCCTTCCTGCCTTCCTCACGATCGACACCTTCGGCCGGCGCAACCTTCTACTCTTCACCTTCCCTTTCCTAGCGATCTTCCTCTTCTGGACCGGCTTCTCCTTCTGGATCTCGGACGTGAAACCCAAGAGAGTTGGAATGGTCACAACGGGCATGTACCTGTACGAGGTCTTCTATTCTCCAGGCATGGGTCCCGTTCCCTTCACCTACAGCGCCGAGGCCTTCCCGTTGCATATCCGTGAAATTGGAATGTCATTTGCGACGGCGACTACCTGGTGCTTCAATTTCATTCTCAGCTTCACATGGCCCTCGCTCCTGACGGCATTCAAGCCCCAGGGCGCGTTCGCGTGGTACGCAACTTGGTGCTTGATCCTGTGGTTCCTTGTATTGCTGTTCTTGCCGGAGACGAAAGCGTTGACTCTTGAGGAATTGGACCAAGTGTTTTCGGTTCCTACATGGAAGCATTCTTCGTATCAGTTGAAGAAGGTTGGTTGGGTGTTTAGGCGATATGTCTTGAGGCAGAAGCTAGAGCCTATGACGCCTTTCTGGCAGGGCTATGAGAATCTGGAGGAATCCTAAGCGGTAGTGGTTCTTTTTCCAAGAAGATTGTCGATTTAGCTGCTCCTCATGGTGTTGCGAATTGCATGTTGTCACCCTTTAGCTAATGAAATGATCACATTGACTCGGGGCAATCCCCGTTATGTGGCATATTTTGAACTCATAGACCAATTTCTCGGACCGCTCTCAACATCGTTTCCAATTATCTTCTAGTTTCTATGGAGCCAAGACATTTCAGTTTTCACGCTCTTGCAACGCAAGCTTGACACCATTCCGGGTTCAATGTCCACCAAAATGCGCAATATCGAATCCCCAAATCTCTCATAACTGACACACGAGTCAGCTCCATAGACCGAACATCTTTGGCTTGACTCGAGGTCAAGGCGGTATTTTATGCATATTTGTCACTCTGTTGCCAATAAACAGCCTCATTAAGCTAGCATATTGCCTTAGGTATCCATGAGGACTGAAACCCTCCTTGTGATCAAACTTCCGGGAGCATGCAATGCAGGCCCGGCTTTAGGGCCGCGCGGAAGAAAAGAGGCTTGGCATCTTCTGGGTTTGGACGGAGATAAGAGATCGTAAAGCATCTTGCCGAAACTTGACTTACTCTACTTCCCAGGGTGAAACGCCATTGCTCGCGATATGCTATAACCGCCTTGGGAAGAATTGGCGACTGTCACATGCGCGGAGCCCCAAAAAGTTCCTGTCATGACAACGTTGAAGACTCTCGAGAGCAAAAGACGGTCGACTTTCTTGTGTGCACTGATTCTACGTATAAACGGTCTCAGACTGCTCCCAACCTACTTAAAAACAGGGTATTGAGTGGCTTTGCTATGCTCTTCGTACTCGTTTTCCTCCACCTCAACTTGATTAATATTGCCTCAATAGCTTTTGCATTCCCCTCGGACTCCAGAGCTCGAAGCCTGGCAGTGTCAGACACTATATCCACAGGAGCGATCCTGTCCCAGTTCAACACCACAAGTTCATACTCTACAGCCACGACGGACACAACCCAAATATTTCCGATCCATTGCCTCGATCCGGAGCACATTATCTTGAACCCCGCCGTTCCAGAAGACTGCGATGTCATCATCGACAATATCGTTCTCAGATTAGTTCCCGATCCTATGGCTATACAGACTTGGGGCTATACAGATGATCAAGACATCAATCTCTCTCTGGACGAGAACCAGAAATGGTTTTATCGCGAATGTGTGATTTTCGTCAGAGCTGTTGAAAGAACACAGGTTGATAGGTTCCGCGTGGTCGACGTCGCATTAGCTGCACAGCAAATCTTGCATAAATGTATCGTGGGGTCCAAGTTTGCAAAAGGAGGGACGGCTGATATCGGCACGTTTGTTGATGGTTTCTATATCGTCCTTGGGGGCCTTACTTTCGTAAACGACACGGTGCCTTCTCCCGCATCAAACAAAACGGTCTTGTCTCTTTCGCGAAACACAGAGAGGTCTATAACGCTAGGGGGTAATACCAGTGGCGCCAGCGACTAATGTTATCAACATCCGTGGCCATCAACCCGCCACAACTCCTACAGCAATATATTCGACACCAAAGTCTTTCAGCCCTCGCTTCTCCCATTTCATGCGCGATTCCCAGCACGCCGACCTCTGAATGAAAGATAGGCGTGAAAGAATACTTGAAAGGTCATGGTCCAGTTGTTTTACAGCGGAACCCATGGCGGCATACACTTATCATGCGTGATTAATTTGCAGACATTATCAGTAAAAGCGGTTTTTTCGTCGTTCGGGGAGCTCGGAAGCCTAGGCCGTTAGAGACTGGATGGGAAGCTTATCGAATGGGATGAGCCTACCTTTGAACCGCCTACCTGTCGGTTTGAGGACTGAATCCCCGTGGCT